AATGTGTTCACTTGGTTTACAATGCTTCCCCCACAGTCGATCCAACAGTGGATCTAGTTAGAGAAATTGTTCCATGAGTAATTCCACATGTGGCAGTCCAAAATAAGCCTAACAAAATTGTCCAGTGTTAAATGAAAGAGCACTGAGTCAATAGACCAATACCTTAATAGGTTTAGACTTCTGAAAGTGCGGTGCTTTACACAAGTCCCTGAACATGAGTTGGTCGAAATGGCTGTAAATGGGTTAGAGTATTCTATTAGGAAGAAATTTCTAGACACTCAGTCTTTGAAAGATATGGCTCAGTTAGCTATCAAAGTTCGACTGATCAAACGTTTGAAAGCATAAAAAACCAAGCCAAACAAGTACCACAAAAGAGAAGGTTTCTTACGTAGCAAGTGAGGAGTGGTCTTCCGATGAAGACATGTTAAGGGAAGAAATAAAGGTTAATGTGGCCGAACTCCAGCCTGGACCTCCTTATGCATGTAAACTTTTGAAACTTCCGAACGGGGAAAACCCCGTCGAAACTGGAAAGAATGAAAAATCCATCACCAAGACCTATACTTTTGACATAACCAAATGTGATGAAATATTTTATTTGTTAGTAGCTGATGGTCAAATTGTGGTCCCTCGGAGCCTGAAGAATCCCCCATTTAGTGCAGAAAGCTTTGAAAGATGGCAGGCTTCAATTTGGCGAAGAGTCAAAGATGCAAGTCGGCACTGATCCTTTGAAGGTGGAGCAGGCTTTATATTCATCGACTTAGAGCGGATCCACGAGTACAACTAGGAGACGCTTATTTAGTTTATCTTTACTCCGAACTAGGTGAAACTTTTCTTTGGAAGATAATACAGTTGACAAGAAGTTGTACATTGTTTAAGGTAATATATTTGAAACCTTTTATCATTGCTAATATTTTCATAACAATTGTGTTACACTTGTTACTATTATTTTATCTGAATCATTTTCTATCGTGGATTATCTCTCACTTTCCTTGCATATCCAGTTGGGAACTGTTAACAAGCCATTTTCGACTAGGCTAATAAGCCTTAAGCTGTGGGGTTTATTTGGCTGAAAAGGTGTAAGTTTATTGGTGTGAGAACAACAGGAGGCGTTGACCAAGACGAAAGGGCATCAAAAGGCGTCGACCAGAAGAGCTAGTGAACAAAAGGCTTGGGATGCAGAGGCGATCATTGATAGACATAGGTGTCAATGAGTAAGGATTTATGGTGGCGGGAACGGTTATCAACCCGCTAGCCAGTAAGAACGTGGGGAGGTTCAAAGAAAATTTTAGGACAGTTTCTCCATAAAGTCCCAACATGGGATAGTAACCGTTGACAGTTACATATTTAGGATTTCTATTTAAGAAAATGTTTGTAATTGTGTCAAAGGTCACATTTATTCACATTTAGATCATTACACTCAAAGTACTTGCATCTAAGAGAGAAACGAGTTTCAGGCTTAACAATGTATGAATGCTCCCACCTTTAAATTCATAGCAATTTCCAGTTTTTACTTTGAAATTACAAGTCTTATCTTTAATTTCTCTACTTTGCAATTGTCTTTATCTTTTGCCCTTTTATCCAATATCAACCAGTTTTCAACCTAAAAACACTCAAAACACTAAGTATAGGATTATTGTAGCCAATTCTGCAAGTAACCTTTAATAAGAGGCTAGCGATTGTTTCATGGAGAAACAAAAACCTAATAATAACTACACTTAGGATATGCCATATGCTTGCACCTTTATCTCGTTCAGGGGAGATCAAGTTATTTAGTCGTTCTAGGTGTTTATTGACCGCACTATAGTAGATGATATATGTTTCTATCCGTAAGAAGATCATCGCCAGACGCGTCCCTTAGATGACATAGCCTTCTACAACTATAGCAGAGGACATATGTTTCTATCCGTATAAAGATCAATCGTCAAACGCGTTCCTTGGACGACATAGCCTTCTACTCTAGATGATTGGCTTATGGATCATGCTTGTTGTATCCATATCTGCATGAGTATGTCATACACTAGTTCAGGTTTCTTTAGATTAATTCAAGACCTCCCTTTGTGCATGTTCCTCTGACAAACTGTCATAGAGATCTTAATTCCATACTTGATGATTTCTATAATCACTTGTTATCAGATGATGCACACAATGTTCCAGATGGTGGTCAATGGGTTGTTGTATATAGCTACATCCAATGGTTTTATCAAGTGTCACCAATATATATTGGAAGAGGAGAAGGCTAGGGATGACAACACCCAAGACCTGTTGCTGGTCTGCCAATGTATTGAAATGATTGCGGGAGATGCCAAAGAGGGAGGAGATTTTGAGAAAGGTCATTATGGTATGGCTACTGTACAAGTCATCTAATTCAAGGCACATAATGCCTTGTAGTACAAGATTGAGAGGATAAATAAGAGGGTTAGATATACACATTAGTTTATTTTTATTTTCATTTTGGTAACAATTGTTTTTTTTAACAAATTATGTATCATGGTAACATTTTCGATTAATTAATATATTTGGATTTGTATTATTGTTTAATTTTATATATGACATGTTTGAATTACATTAGTATAATTAGCATGGTATATACTTACTATAAATGGCCTTAAAAATTAATTTGGGACACTTGCTGCTAAGGCAAAAACTCCCAAATTCTTTCAGGGGTTATTCCAGAGATGCATCTAACGAATCACCCCATAAAATTACGGAGATGCATCTTCAAAGTAACCCCTAAAAGAATTTAGGGTGGATGGTTTACTTGTGAAGTGCAACATTTTTTTAGGGGTTTATCCGAAGATGCATCTTTGTAATTTTCCGTGGTGATTCCTTAAATCCATCTTCGGACCATTTTTAACAAATATGGGACCGATGACTCGCTTATGAAGTGTTGTATGCATTTTAGGTGTTTCCAGAGATATATCTATAGAATATTGAAATGGAAAATTCGGGTTTCAATGTGTTCACTCTCATCACATGGGGTGGATAAAGTAGTTCACTAAAGGCCAAACAAACATGTATTTAGTCAACTGTATATTTTAGCCTGAAATTACCCATGCACTTAACCATGAGACTACCAAGAAAATTTAGGGGGTTGTTTTTCCCACCCTAAGTGGTGGAGAAGCATTCTATGGAAATCTGAAAATGTCTTCCGAATTTGGAAGCATATTTTTGGACACACTCAAATACACTAAACTCATGTGTAAATGAATCATGCTCTCATTTTGTCAATAAAAAGTTTGAAAATATACTTCTGAATTATTCTGAAAGTATACTTCTATAAGATACATTTATAAGAACAATAAATATCATTTGGAAGTAGGTTACTTAATTGGCGTGGCTCTACTTTTGCAGATTTGTGTACGTGATGATTCACTAGGCAATCATAATCATCATTGTGCAATTCCTCTTATCCAATATATATATATATATTGTCTTGAATATTATTCATATAAATGTATCTTATAAAAGTATACTTTCAGAATAAATCGAAAGTATATTTCTGGACTTTTTCTTTGCAAAATAAAAGTATGACTCACTTACGCATGAATTTGGTGTATCTGCAGTGTGTTTGGAAATGCATTTATGAATTCTAAGAATATTTTTTGTTTTTTATAAAAATTAAAGAGCATCCCTTATGGTGGAAGAAACAATCCCCAAAATCGATTAGCCTTAAGATACAATTTGATGTTGAGAAAGGGAATATCTTTTCCCACCCTTATGGTGTGGCTCACACCTCTGAAAACCCGAAATTACCCTTAGAAATTTTCGGAGATGCATCTCCGAACGCACCTTCAGCCTATTTTTGGAAAAAATTGATTCGAAGATGCATCTCCGAAAATTTCTCTGGTGAATTCAAAGATTCTTATCCGAAAAAATCATAGGAATTATTACACATTTTTATTACACATTTATTACTTGAAATTGGTGCCACTTTCGAGGACTCTATCAATTTATTACACATTTATTACACATATTTATTACACATTTTTTCATTGAAATTGGTGCCACTTTCGAGGACTCTATCAATTTTAACCAATATTAAAATCATAGGAATTATATGCTCACATTTTAGCCCTTTCATTTCTGCATTTCTGGCTTTTACGCGACCTAGCATAAAAAACTCAATTTTATGGAAAATCGACTCTGAATCAAAATTTTATTGTGCCATTTCATCAGGAAAAAATCAGGGATCAAAATCTCATATTTAAGGACTAAATATGGAACACCACCCTAAATTCCTTATTTTTCCTATTTTATTTGATTTATTTTTTGTTTTCATATTTTCAAAAAAAAAATTCTAGAAAAATCTATAGAATTTTAATTTGATTTTTAGCTGTATTTTTCGAATTTTTATAATTTTATTTTAATCGTTTTTCTATTTTCCAATTGTTTTTCTCAATAAAAAATTATTTGTATTTACACATTTGTTGCATTGTTGATGCATGGCTTCTAGGTCTACCTATATGGATACACCCAATACTAAATTAAGGAAACAAAACACAACATAACACTTTCGAATATGCGTATCCGAAAACATATTCTTTTTGTAAAAAAATAGAGTGTTTTCGGATATGCATCTTCGAAATTGAATATAATAAGGTGTTTCACTCGTTTGCGTTCAATTTAATGGAAAATGAGTGCATCCAAAAATGTATCTCTAAGTTCTAGGAATATTTTTAGAATTTCGTCAAGGATTTAAGAGAAGATACAAGGGTGGGAAAAGAAATTTCCATTAAGAAACCTGAAAAGACCCCAGTTAAGAAAGAAGAATCATTTTTGAGGTCCAATCAATTAAGAATAGTGTATAGTTGAGATCCAACTAATTGAGAATGAAAAGACAATCTAAGCAGCCAGGTAGAAAACTTTCACATATAATACATGATTTTTGGAACCACAATCTTTAAATCTATCCAGTTACGGATTATACCTTTATCTTTTGGGCTAGCTTTTGAACGTGCAATTCGATTATACTGGTTCTCTAGGTTGAGGAAACTCACCATCTATGAAGGAGTCATTTGTTGAGAGGATAAGAGATTCTTCTCTGCAACAACCATTAATAGGTTTTCACTCAAAAACACATACACTACATCCAAGCATCTTTGTGGCATATCAACAAACACCATGAATGCAACCTTAAAATAACCTAAACAAAGGAACAAAACACACCACTAGACCAAGCAAAAAAACAAGATAGTATCACTTAAATCAGAGAACATAAAAACCCAAAAAGTTAGACCTGTATCTTCTAGTGGTGGAGGCTCCAATGGAGGAAGTTTTCCATGTCCGACCCACTTTGGGACATTGGTTGGTGATGATGGTGTTGGAGTTGCGAGCACTTGGTGGCTGTTGTCAGAGGGTAGGGAAACCAAGATGAAGGTCGGAGGTAGAAAAAAGGGTTTAGATAGAGATATGTGTTTTCGGTGGAGGTTACAAATGGGGTTGGGGTGGGTTAGATTTTTGTGGATGTGGATATGGAGTGATAGGGCCATTGGAGGTGTGGGCTAGACAAAGATGGTGGTAGAGGAGGTGTTTTTGGGAAGGAACGGGGAGGGGAATAATTCTAGGGATTTTAGTGGGTGAAAAGAAAAAGAAAATCAGACCAACCAATCACCACGGAGGTGAAGAAAAACCAACTCAAGATGGGAGAAGAACCACCACTAAGAGGGAGGAAAATACCCCAAATAAATTGGGGAAACCAAAACCACCACAATCCCCCTGTTAGAGGTGGGAGGAAGAAGAAAGATTTTAAAAAGAAGTTGGAGCTTCTCTCTCTAAAACTGTGACTGGTGAAAGTTGGACCTACTAACCACCTAAAAAGTTGATTATCATGAACATAAGATAGTGCAAATGTTGAAGACACTACTTTGAATCTTAGGTTCGTGAAACCCAACAAATACTTTGAATCTTAGGTTGGTGAAACCCAACCAATTGAGAATGATGTACTCCCTCTGTAACGAATTATAAGAAAATTTGACTTAGTTGGTATATGTAAGTTCCATAGTTTTAAGGATTGACATTAATTTTCGTAAAACAAATATAGCAGCAATATGTTAGATATGATGTGTTAACTTGCTAACAGGAATAGGTTGAGCAAGAAGTCCTATCTCATGTTATAACATGTTGAGTTTAAGTATTTCAACGTCTAGAAGAACACGTCAGATAAGATGTCCTATGAAGGAGCATATGACATCGCGCTTGAGCTGAAGTGGGCAGTTAGATTTTGTTATGATTTAACTGATGCAGAATATTTTGGGAATATTATGCAATCCTATGTGGCATTGAGTTAAAGGTTAAGAAGAATCAAAGAATAATATTGAAGAATATACTGTTTCTAAATTTGGAGATAATTTAGGAAGATTTGATCGAAAACCTTGATTGTAGCAGAAGTTACTGCTGATTGTTACAACTGATATATTGTGTATTTTGAAGGCCCGAATCCAGTTGGGTATAGGTTAAAAATAAAAGTGTTTGTAACCTAGGAAAGGCACGGGTTCAAGACATAGAAGTCTAGGGCTTTTTCTTTTTCTGTTCTCTATGAGAGTTAGTGTAAGTGAACCACTCGGGTTTTGAGATGGTCATTGTTGTTCTCACTCAGAAGTTGTGAAGTAATGAGTTGAGTATTGTTCTTGGAGGAAGCTTTGAAGCAATTCCAAGTTGTGGTCTTAGTCAAAAGTCTTGGCTAGAGATTTTCATGGAAGTGCGTCTTCCTATTTGTTCAGGATTGTGTTGATCCAATCGTTGTCTGTGATTGAAGAGGGATTGAGGAGGGCCTCATATCTAGGTGAGTCTTAGATAAAAATATATGAAGGGTAATGATTAAGTGATTAGGCCATAAACTGGAGGTTTGTTGTAGGAACTATGAATTGATACTATCATAGTGGATTTGTCCCTGGCTTGGTATGCCCTTGGAGTAGGAGAGTTGCTCAGAACTGGGTTAACAATTCTGGTGTGTTGTGTATGTTTTTCAGTACTGTTTTAATTGTTTATACATTGCCTATTTGTTTATGTCGGATTAGATGTCCCAACATGTCATAGGACATTTGAGTTCTATCATACCATAATGTTAATTGGTATCAGAGCAAGCATCTTGCCTGTTTCTGGATGAGATCCATGGGGGATACTTTCTAGTTCCTGTGCAAGGTAGAAGGTTCTACTGAAAAGCTGTTTGAACTTGGAGAGTTCATATTATTGTTTGAACGGTCCCTAGAAGGGGAGGATTGATTGTTCATGACAAGGTGTGTATTGTACGTGTCTGTATTGTTTTCAGGAATTTAGCTTTGGTGGCAAGCTACTGTGTTGAGGGTTTGATTTATTTTCAAATCCAGGTTAACCTGTTGCACCAGGAGTATGGTGTGTTTGTGCAAGGGTTTATGTTTTGCCTGAATGATGGTGTAAAGTTTTCTGGTTTGTATCCCGCTGCATATATATTTGATGGAAAACTCCTGGTGTTTTGGTGTGTTGAGGATGCAACACATTATTCTCTTCTTAAGGCGTATCCCATGATGTGGTGGTACTTGAGGAGAGGTTCGACTAGATTGTTAGATTTGCAAAGATACTAGAGATTTATCCCAAGTTCACTCATAAAGGTAATCTTATATGAGGTTGTTGAAGAGAGATCAGGAAGAGGAAATTTATTTTTTCTTCCAACCCTAAAAGGCCAATCTCTAGGCTTTGATAGAGGATCTCTTGATGTGTCCCTTGTGAAGGGAACTGATGTCCTACAAGATGTTAGAACATCAAACCAACAGATTGTGCAGAATATTGTTGGATAAAGATAAGACATAGAAGATGCTTGGGTGCTAAACAATTTTGTTTTAAATTACTTATGTTTGGAACCTACTCCTGATCTAGAAGAGGAGGCATTTGTGTTGCGTGTCTAAGAAGTTTCTTTACTATAAACATGTCTTAGATAAGTATGTTGGTCAGGACACGAACAACATATTGGGCACTCATTAAATTATTTTATTTCTGACCTAAGGAGTTGGTGTGCAGAGGTTATGCGTTGTTTTCCCGTGGAAGCTTGATAAAGGTATCTCTTCCAGATCCTTTATATATGGAGGTCAAGCTCATATATCAAGGACATTTTCTCTAACATCTGGAAGATCCTTTTAATCAAAGGAGATGAAATTATGGAATCTTGTTTATGGCCATAAAACAAATTCTGTTTGAGGGAAGTAATGGACTAACCACAGGATGTGTAGCTAATGTATGGTTCTCAAGGAGTTCTTAGCAGTTAATAAGGGGGAGTCCTTAATCTGAAGCTAGAAGAACTTGAAGGAGTGTCAGACATAATGTCTTGACATCTTTGTATTGAGAACTTATTTTTCTCAATATGTGTGGTAGTACTTTTCATATATAGGATGGAGGTTGTTTACTCTAACTTGGTATTCTTATCAAGTATATGAGAGCATGAAACTCTTGTTCTATTGAAAATTATTTCAAGGATTGTCTGCATTGGAGGTGTGTCAACCTAAATTTTGTGGTTGACTGGTGTCTGCACTGTTAAAATGTCATCTAATTTACCTAGGATGAGCATTTCAGTTGTTTGAAGCAAGGAGGAGTTATTAGTTTGAGACCAAAGGATTATGGTTCCCTGATGTCTATGGTAAGTTCCCCTCTCTACTAGGGTTCAATTATGTGGTGTCCTCACATGATGGAACAATTTTTTTTACAAGAACTAAAGGGAATCCTTGTGAGATGGAAAAATAGACTTATTCTATACGGTCTATTTGTGATGACCAGTAAATGCCATTATTGTTGAAGTCTGCTCCAAATACCTGTTAGAGGGAATCTCCTTTTTAGGTGCATAAGGATGACATCAAACACCTCAAAGTCATACATGAGGTCTGAACATTGTACTTTTGAGAAGAAATCTTCTTGAGGGGTGCATGCTTTGCATGTATTTTGGTCTGTGTTAAAGATTGATCAACTATTGATGGTTGATCTTCTTGTATCCCTTGCTAGAGTTATGGTTTACTATGGTTTCTCCATACCATAGTTGATGGTGAAATCCAAGTGTTTGAGACTGATGTCAGATCAGATGTTGGAACATGTCTTAAAGCGTGTTTTATTTCTTCAGCCAAGGAAGTGTGTTTTTTGTCCAGAATGGAGTGAAAAGTCAAACCACTAACCTAATCTGGAATGATCTTGGATGTAAATGAATGTCATCAGCAGGTTCTAGATGTTTGCAGAAGAAGATTGTTAGACCAAATGTCCTACCTTGTGTGAGAAGGTAATCTTATCTGACAAATGATAAATACTTTGACGGGAGCTGAGTATTTGTTTATCCTCTAGGGAGGTTATGCATGAGACAAATTGTGAATACTTTGACGGGAGACTAAATATTTTTATGAAGAATTATGCAATTTTGCATTCTGAACATTGTGTTTCAGAAAATATGTGAGAGTTTATTTCACTCCATATCATTCAAGTGTCTGCAAGAATTTGGATGAGCTGCACTGATTGTGTTATATTGGGAGCTTCTTAAAGGATTTCTATGCACAATAAGTCCTTTGAATAATGATTCAAGAACCAATGTAATTTGGTTCTGTATTATGAAGTTGATGTCCCACATGATGTCTTAACATCATGATTGTTGATGGTTATTTTAAATGCTTGAGATTGTGCATATGTAGTTGGATGCTCGAGCATTATTGTCAGAAGTGGCATTTTTGACTTTATGGATTAGAATATAGAGAGTCTAATCCTTCCTACAATAGTATGCTTGGTTAATGCATGAGTACTTTGTTGAAGACTCCACTAGTATCAGCAACTACTAGTGGATGAATGGGCAAAAGACTGCTGATAGATATTGAGGTCTGAGCAGAGTGTTTTGATGAATTTTTTTTCTGCTGCAAGTCACTCTAGAAAAGTGATGATAATCTGGATCTTAGTAAAGCTTTTAAGAAAATTAAGAAGTTTTGAAAATTGTGAGTGACTTCACATATAGTATGCATGAAATCGGACCTACTTAAAAGGTCATGATACAGAGTGTGATTATGAAAGGATATTGATCAAATGTGTCTTTGTGTTGTGAAAAAGTCAGAGTGCTTGGAAGTATTCTCAAGGAGTAATAATATTTGACTCTAGTTTGAATCTACGGATGAAGTCGAGGCTCAGCATATGCGGGAAGTGCTAAGGTTTTTCATCTAGTGCTCAAGTCTTCATCTTCAACTAGAGCATTGGTTATTCATGACAGGGGAGTCGTGTATTTGTCTGTGGGTTAGTGTTGCAATGGTATAAATATTGTTTAGCTAGAATTTTGTTCAAGCTTGTGGAGATCTTATGCCTCTTATGAAGATGTGATGTCAGACAACATGTTACAACATTGTGAAAATTTTGGTGATCTTGACAAGGCATGGTTGGTTTTAGCCATGTGAAGCTGTGTGTTTAAATCAGAAGTTCACACATCTCTTGTGTGTTTAATGGTTGAGTCTGAGAGAATTTATTTTTCTCTACAGATTTTTTGAAGGACTCTCTAAGGTTCTTTATTATTGAGAGATGTCACAAATGTGATATTCTGATGTCTTGGTATGTGTCGCTGAGTTTAAGTGAAAGGAGAACACTTAAAATCCAGCGGAAGACAGTGTGGATGAAGATGTGTTGGTCAATATTTATGCTTGCAATGTCTGACTGGACGTCAGAATATTATCCAGGACATGTTTCCTATAAGACCAACAAGGGAGTGATATGAACAGTTTGATCAAACACATGTCAGAAGGTGTGTTTGACTATGCATGTGCATGTATTGGGATCGGTTCTTTTTAGCAAAACAGTCCAGAGCTATTAAAGACTTTCAAAGTTGTTCTTGGACAGTGCACATTATTGTCTGGTGGCAGTTTCTCCTTAAATAACGATTCCTTTTACCAAGATTATTGCTACATTCAAGGACAGTTATTTCCCAAGAAAATGACCAACTATTTATAGAGGGTTCTCCCGTCCTCTTTCACCATACGAGTATTCATCATCATAATGGGTTTTATTCGGATTTGGGCAAGATGTGCCTGGGTCTGGTATTGTGAAGGCTTCCTTTTCCCGGTTTTGGCTAAAAAGGGGGAGAAATATGGTGATCAAGGTGCTCAAGGTGCTCTACTGATTAATCTGGATGCTTCTTTTACAGATCTGTCACAAAGATGTCGGATAAGAAGTTATATATCCTATGTTTCTATTCTTTTGTGACTTGTGATCTGAGTTATGAACACATTTGTGACCTGTGTTTTGAGTTACTAGGAGTGGTGGTTGATTTGTGTAGGTCGACTGGTGGTTGTTGATCAAAAAGTGTTTAAGTAATATCTTATACCACCATTGGTCTTCTGTGACAAAGAATGGTTCCTGATTTGAGGGGGAGTGTCAGCTATCTTCTTCCTCATGTACATCAAATGACTTCAGGACTTTCTACTCCTTTTCTTGAAGGTGTTGTTCTTTGGTGATGGATTTGGCACTCAAATGGAACTTATTCAAAATGCTTGAAAGAAGATGTCAAACAGAGATGTTCCAACATCTTTACTGAAGACTGACTCCATGTTGTTGTGTTGCTGCGATCAATAATTTCTGAGGATTACTGTTGGGGGATGTTTTTATTTATTACTGTAATATTGAGTTGTAATTTTATTGTATTTGTTTTAACCAAAATTTACCAAAGGGGAGATTGTAAGTTCCTTAGTTTTAAGGATTGACATTAATTTTCGTAAAATAAATATAGCAGCAATATGTTAGATAGGATGTGTTAACTTGCTAACAGGAACATGTTGAACAAGAAGTCATATCTTATATTAGAATATGTTGAGGTGAAGTATTTCAACGTCTAAAACAACATGTCGGATAAGATGTCCTATGAAGAAGCATACAATATTGCATCTGAGCTAAAGTGGACAGTTAAATTTTATTATGATTTAACTGATGCATAATATTTTGGGAATATTATGCAATCCAATGTGGCGCTGAGTTGAAGGTCAAGAAGAATCAAAGAAGAATATTGAAGAATATATAGTTTCTAAATTTGGAGATAATTTAGGAAGATTTGATTGAAGAACTTGATTGTAGCAGAAGTTACTGCTGATTGATACAGCTGATATATTATATTTTGAAGACCCAAATCCAGTTGGATATAGGTTATAAATAGAAATGTTTGAAACCTAGGAAAAACACGAGTTCAAGATGTAGAAGTCTAGGACTTTGTCTTTTTGCCGCTCTCTAAGAGAGTTGGTGTAAGTGAACCACTCGGGTTGTGAGATGGTCACTGTTGTTCTTACTTAGAAGCTGTGAAGTAATGAGTTGAGTATTATTTTTGGAGGAAACTTTGAAGCAATTTCAAGTTGTGGTCTTAGTCAAGAGTCTTGGTTAGAGATTGTCATGGAAGTATGTCTTCCTATTTGTTCAGAATTGTGTTGATCCAGTCGTTGTCTGTGATTAAAGATGGATTGAGGAGGGTCTCGTATCTAGGTGAGTCTTAGATAGAAATCTAGGAAGGGTAGTGATTAAGTGATTAGGCCGTAAACTAGAAGTTTGTTGTAGGATCTATGAATTGATACTATCATAGTGAATTTGTCCTTGGCTTGGTATGCTCCCTGAGTAGGAGAGGTGCTCCGAACTGGATTAACAATTCTAGTGTATTGTTTATGCTTTTCAATATTGTTTTAATTGTTTATACCTTACCTATTTGTTTATGTCAGATCAGATGTCTCAACATGTCATAGGACATTTGAGTTATGTCATACCAAAATTTTAGTATATTTGACAATTAATGTATGTAATTCATATATCGACTAATACATTAATTATCAAATATAAAAAAAAAATCAAATTTACTTATAATTTATTAAAGAGAGAGTACTTTGTGGAGCGTCTAAGCACCACTTGAAAAGTTGAAATCAATTACAATGTCACGACCTTAAACAAACCAAAAAAAAAATCAAATTATGAACACATGTAATAATGTGAATATCAAAAGATAATGAATGACATACCATGAAATTTCGACAACAAAAAGGGACTTATGATCAAGTAATAGAGCCAACAATAATGGTATTTAATAATTAATTTTATCTTCTAAATTAGTAAAATCAGTACTAAACTGGTTTTAAAAAAAAAGGTGTCACATTAAAGGTTGTAAAAAAAACTGAATAAACAAACCTAATATGATTGTTCAAAAATCAAAATCATTTGACACCATTAAAACAACATTTTTATGTTAAAATGAATTAAATCACAAAAGAAAGAAAGGTAATCTATATACCATCATATATAACTGCAACCAGCAATATCAAAATGAAAGAAATCTAACTCTGTATACCATTGCACTCAATAACCGAAAATTTGTGATGGCAATTAATTATGTCTTATGATTTCTATAGAGAACTATAAAATATTTGAAATCAACTACCAAAACTTATCATACAACAAAATAACTAAGGGTATTCAATTCATAAATTCAATAACTAGTTAACCTTAATTGTCTACAATTTTAAGACCCCAACTCATATCCTCACAATGTCTTACATGTGGAACAAGTGCACCTGTATCAGCTCCTCTCTTAGCCTTACAATCATAGAAAGGAGGAGCATGAAAACACGGCTCCATCGACATTGCACGTCGACAAGGAGGATCAGGAGCTGTTTCATTCTCAGGTTTGTATAGTATCCAAGGTTTCAAACCTCCGAGCCCCTGCGCCACGTAGCCAAAAGTAGACCAGGAGCTAGTCACCAACACATCGGTTAAACTCAATAAATACATTTCCGCCCAAGCTTTTTGATTGTGTATTTGCTTTTCAGTTTGCTGATATCCCTCATGGCTTGGTTGGTATACACTGATAACTTCTCCGGTCAGCGTTGGATATTCCCAATACATGTCTCTTATTTTTTCGAAATAGCCAGAGCTTAAGGATGTCATTAGTACCGCTTTCGAATTTGAACTTCCTAATGAACCAGTAATATCATGCTTCTTGTCAATATCAGGCAAGAGATTTTCCTTCATGGTGCAAGCTAGGATTTGATCCAATACATATTGAAATGGACCAGGTCTAGTGTCGAAAACCCTAATTTGGATGCCGACTATTTCATCAGCATTAGCTAAATAAGATTCATAGTATCTAGTAACAAAACCCCAAACTTTGTTTGTAGGGTGGAACAAATACCTGCCTAAGAAATGGAAAACTTTATCCTTGTTTGGAAAGAGATTACTGAGCTCCTGATCAAAAGACTGCATCAAGAATAGCGATGGAATAAAGTAATTATCTGTTTTCATTATTAACCAAGGTACTTTCTGCAAAAATTCCTGTTCTTCATCGCAAAAGAAAAGCTTATCCTCATCACTGTAATCATGTACCAAATGAAGGTAGACAGAAGAAGGAACTTTTGAATTTGTGACTGATTTATTTTTCAGCATTTTTCCATGACATTGATCAGATTCCTGATTGAAACCGTGAAATTGACTGTTTAGAGGGAAATCAGGAGGGAGAAACCATGAAACATCTGGAATCGGTTCGCAAAAAAGATCAGCCATATCAACTCCAGGATCAACCAAAAGAACACGGTTTGTGAGGAGAGCATAAAGAAATGCAGAAGCCAAGGTCAATATCCTGTTCCCTAAACCACTAAATGAAATCCAAACCACATATTTACAATCCGGGGACTCGCTTAAGTGACCTGAACTGAGATCTTTCACCGTTTTATTGTAGGATTCAGTATAAGGTCCGCATTTTTTGTGGAGTGCTTCATACTTTCTTAATCTGGAGACGAGGTAAGAGGAGAGATTCCCTGATAGTCCTTTAACTGAATGATACCTACTGAGACATGATCCATCGTCAAATCCAGCTGCTAGAAGTCCACCTAGTAGTTTATCTTTTATGAACTTAACAGAATCAGAGGCACCACTATTCAAACCTAAGAACCAAAGGATATGAAATTCCATCATTATTAGACCAAAACATATACAAATTAAGAAAATCAGTTCATTCATCAACAGAAAGCTTATTTGGACTTTCTATGACAAATACTTGAGCAAGAGTTTAGAGGAGCTTTAAAAAAAAGCGTATTATAGATCCATAAGCTACCTTTTCAGCTTATTTCAACAAGTTTTTTGGGATAGCATATGAAAACAACTTACAACTTATATGAAAATTGTTAAATCACATTCCTACTTTGACTATAAAATAGCTTACATATAAGCGCTTATATAACAAAGCACTAACTATTTACCCAAACGTACCAAAAATGCTTGCAGGAAGAGAACCAAATGCCAAAATTGAAAACTTTATGGAAAACCTAAAGATCAGTGTAAAAAACCTAGTTGGACTAAACTGTTAATGGGTTTAGCTAAAAGATCAAAAGGAACAAAAAAATCTGAGTTCGATTTATGATTGGAATTTAGAACTATCTTTGACTAGATTTTTTCTTACAGAATCAACTTTCTCCACTCCACATTTCTTAAACTACACATGGACCCGAAAGTATACTTCCAGATAGCATAATTTGTGCACTTCCAGACAGCACAAAAGTGGTATGTGTTTTTTTGTAGTGTTATCGAATATTGCCCATGACGAATATCAGTAGCAGTTTTCGGACTCGCCGCAATGGTAAATATCAGCTGATATTGCGGTTTTTTCCGCCATATTCCGCTATGACAGGGCCGCAAAGCGGCCGGTATGGCAGTCTTCAGGGCCGTCCACAAGGCCCAAAGAGCGAAGGCCCATAAATGAAAGCAGTGAAACGTTAAACGTTAAACGCAGAACAAGTGGACTCTCTTTCCTCACTGAACAGGCAATCCCTCACGCGAATACCCTGCTAACCGTGCCGGATATAAACCTAACAACTAATGTCAATCCAACCAAAATAAAATGAACAGCAATCAGAGCATATAAACCAATAGTAACCGAAAATCAACATCTCAATTATTTAAATTAAATAAAAAAATTTTAAAAAAAGTACATAAGAGTAAATCACAAGAAAAGAATAAGAACCTTGTTGTCGAATAGTACTAGTAGTAGTAGGTGTTGATGGAGAATGCGGAAGAATAAACGAAAGAGAGAAGAGGGAGAGAGTAATGAGAAAGAGGGAAGCGAATAAGGGCAAGGAAGTGGCAACGGAACATTTTCTGTTGGAAATTGAAGGAGAACGAGTGTGCGAATCCGGTACAAGTTCTTCGCCGTCGTGATTCCTACTGAGGATTCTCTTCATGTTGGTTGTTGGATGATGAATTGCGTCTTGCATTTGATGATTGAACCAAACACGGTCTTACTGCAGGAGCAGGTTCATCACTGCATCGGATGATGATGGATTCCTTGAATTTAGATCCGTGGATTGATGGGGAAGACGCATATCTCGGCACACAATCATAAAATAATAGGAAAATTTTCTGAATTACTAGTGCTACTTGTTCTATTAATTAGGACATTTTAAGGTTGGTTAATCAATTTTTACCTTTTTATTAAAAGATTCATATCCTCTTTAATCATCTAAAATCTTAAATCAAATCTCAACTAGAATGCATCAAATACTTAATTTTTATTCTTAAAAAATAAGCAATTTTTTATTAAAAAGAAATATCACATATATATTTTTAACTTAATTTAATTTTATACGATAATTTAATTCATTTTAATCTTTTATATAAAAATTTTGATAGTTCTAAAAAAGACCAAACAGTTTTTGTTGCTTCTAAACTAAGTCACTTCTATCTTTTTTTAAAACGATTCAAATGGCATCATTTATCTGCAAACTACTATTTTGCCTCGTCTTTATTCCTTCTTCCTTCTACCTCTACACTTCTTCGTTCTTCCTCTTTTTCTTCTTTTTTCTACCTCATCTTCTGCCTTCTTTCCTTTTCTTCTTCTTATTGGTACCAAATCGAAAGAAGCGATAATCTACGATATCAGTTTATGATTTAAAAAACAAATCCATATTTTCTATTAAGACTATCGCTTACAAAGTCATAGTCGAATCCAAAGAACCGATAGAAGTCTTCCTACAAATGTTCGGGTCCTCTCGTCGCATTTGTGAACTGAGATCCACTGTTTGGGGTCTGAATAATCCACTCCTGCCGATTCAATGGTAGGTTTGATAATTATGGAATTTTAATTTTTAGGATTTTCTTTCTTTTGGTATCTTTGTTGGAAAAATTTAATATTCTTGGGATTTTGAATCATGGGTTTTCTTTGTTTTGTTTTATTCATTGGAAAAAATGAAATCTTTTTGGGTTTTGAATCTTGGGTTATTCTTAGGTTATTGCGGAGAGGTTGTCCGAGGAAGAAATTGGTGGTTTAAAAGAGTAGGTTATGCACTATGTCGATGTTGGTTCGCGGCGGGCGACGATTACTATTCTGAAACATATTGCTAAACATGTAAGTATTTATTAAATTTACGGTTTTGAAATTATTTACATCATTGGTATAATTATTGATGCAGAAAAGAACTTGAAACTTTCACTGACTCCGAGCGTCTCATCGGTGATGCTGATAAGAATTAGGTCGCCATGAATCCTATCAACATAGTTGTCTTATCCCAATTTTGTCCTACCTTTTTACTTTTAGCTAGCTTATGTAACGTCCCGATATTTAATTATTCATTTAATTGAATATTGTTTTGAATATTTTATACTAATTGAATTTTATCGTCAAGTCGGAATTATTTTATTAAGTTGGAATATTAAACAATCGGATTTAATTTGGTGGAATTAAGTTGAGGTATTATTGTTATTATTAAGCTTAAAAATGATAATGGGCTTATGTTATGGTGTCAAGAAGCAAAAGTGGGGTGTAGCATTTAGGCCCGATTGGATTTATTTGGATTAATAGAATAATATATATTTTTATTAGAAAATAAGAAAAAGGAAGAGAGTTGGAGTTATCAAAAAGAGAAGAGAAAGAGGAATAGGGTTTTGAGTGGAGAAGAAGAAGAAGAAAGGTTTGGAGTTATGGCAGCAGCAAGGTGCAATCCGAAATTATAAATGCGATACGGTGGCAGAACCGACTGTTTTTACTGGTTTGTGTTTTGTGTTTTTTGTTCACAAAATGTCGCGGTAAGCAAGAGTCGCCACCGACTTTTATTTTATCCAATCATGAAAAAGGAAAAAGAACAGAAAAAATCTTTTTCGAGATTTCTGAGTACGGGGGGTAGATTATAAAAAGGGAAGGTGTTAGCACCTTTTCTATCCATGGTTTTCCATGGGCTCTTAGGTACTTGCTCATCTTTTTAAAATTTCTTGTGTGTGTGCTTGTTTTGAAAAAGTTTTACTTCGTGATAACCCTTGTAACAGTCCTCAAAGGTGTGACGAAGTTTGTTTTGAAATTTTTTTTGAAAGGTGTTTGTGTGAAAAGTTTTATTGAGCAAGTACTTAAGATTCTACCTACTAGAAAAAAGATGGTTCATTCTCGCTTCCTTTAGACAGCGCTATCCTACTATTAAGGAGTAGGTATTCCCATCGTTGGAGTTTATAAGGGACGTTCGAAAGGGACAAGTACAATCACTAAAGCAACAGTTAGAAAACTTTAGTAGTAACCCTAGAGTCCTAAAGATCTTTCTGAGGCAACATTTCTGAGGCAACATTCGAGGCAACATTTGAATGGGACATTTTGATCTTTTAGACTGGAGGGCAACCACTAAAATCTCCTATGCTTAATGATTGTTTACCAAAGGAAATCGAAGTGAGGTAAACCATAGGAGTGAATATGTGCATGTGAATTTTTTCAGTTAATTAGTCTTTGCACATTAGGTGATCTACCGTTTTAATTTTCAAGAATTCTTCCCATACAATCCTATTAACCATGCATCTAACAGTTAAATATTTGCAAGAATTTAAAGTGCGAGAAAATAAACCTAGCTATTACAAGGCTTTGGCAGTTACATAATTATCTTGACTGAAAAATGCGGAATTTAAAAACCCTAATTACTATTAGAATCCTGGAGCAGTTACAATAACAATAAAAGAATTAAAATGCGCGCGGCAAATTAAATGCGAGAAAAATTGAAAACTCTAAAAATCTAATTGAAAGAAATATTTAAGTTATTTTTTGAGGAAAAAAAACTAATTAAGTTATGTACAATAAAAACCCTAATTCTAATTATTTTTAATTATATAAAAAAGGATTAAATTTCCCTAAGTTAATTAAACTAAATTAATTAAGAAATAAAAAATATTCTTTTTATGAAAAAAAAAATGATTTTGGTGTTTTTTGTGATTTTTGATTAAATAAAAAATATGATTTTTTATGTTAATTAGAAAGAAAATAGTTAGAAAATAATTAAAAGGAAATCAAGATAAAAAATGATAGAAGAATGGGCCTGTATAGCAATCCAAAAAAGGGGGGTGTGTTGCTGAATTGGCTGGGCCCATTAGATGTTCAGCCCATTCAATACGTGGAATCCAGCGCTGGCTCCTTCTGATGGTGCACCATGGTCCCTCCTTGTTTGGGGCGTTGGATCTGAACTATCAACGATCAAGTGGTTGAATCCAGAATGTGTATGGAAGACGTGTAGGGTTGTAGTGTACTGAATCTGCAATTAGAAGTTATGAAAAATAAATAATACGCTGGGACCTGGGATCGAACCCAGGTCCTCTCCACTCTTCAATACACCCTTCACTACTAGGCCAACCTGGTCATTCGTTATAATGTTCAAACAAAAAACAAAATAATGTAAATTAAACACAAGTTCCAAAGACGCACGCTATTTCAAATAGGTGAATACATGGCTGCCACGTGATTGTCTCCTTCCCCAGGATTGTCGCTTTTGATACCATCCCTTTACCTATGGACAAACTCGTCACTATAGGCTATAGTGACCATTTTTATGCGTGGCTATAAACCTGCAAAATCTTAAGACGAAATTCAAGCAATATAAATTCCATTCAAGGGCATGAATCAAATGTATTTCATCCCCTGAACATGAAGAGGCCCTTAATTTGGCCCAATTTGCCTCTAGCTAGGGTTCCCCAATTTGGAGCATACGAACCCTAACTATGGCAAGTAACCATTCCTGCATCAAAACTTAAATCCAAGCTATCAAAAAAATTCCCAGCATGATCATGGACATGTATATGCAAGCAAATTTGATTAAAAATACATAAAACTAAAAGAACAAGTTTGAGTTCAGAGGATGCAAACCGTGAGGTGTAGCTGACGATTCTGGTGGTTTGAAGACTCGGAAGTGATTGGAATAGATTCAATGCACGCCCAGGAATAGATTGCTGGCTTTAAATTGCCTTGAATCGTTCTCTAGATTGAAAACCGAATCACATTTTTTTGCAAGAAAACCACGTTTTGTTTGATTCTTTTCACCTCTGCAATCATTGTCTTATGCCTTGTACATGTTCATTATATATCCTAGAACGAATTGGGGTTATAAAATTGGCTTGTATCTTTGCAATTATGGAAGATTTGATTTGATTTCCATGTCATATGTAAACTTGCTATATTGAGCCAAATCATCCCTTTCTTGTACCAACCATGCTTGATTCGATTTGGCCTTGATATTTCAGCATATTTTGATTGCAAACCTGTCAAAAAATCATATCAAAACAGATCTTTGATATTATTTACCAATTATTTGATTCAATTCAATTTTTAATTAATAAAAATCACAATAAAATGGAAAATGAGGAAAATAACATCTGGATGGATATTTGGGTCATGGATCATGTTAGAAGTGAGGTGCAATCATGAAATGTTATGCCCATTTAGTAAAAAATGCATTTTTGAGCATATTTGACTTTTGGCAATTTTGCAAAAAAGGTCAACTTTGACAAGGCATATCTCCTCCAATTTTAATCCTAGAGAGATGTTCTTGGACTTTTTAGAAAGATTAGGATGTCCCCTAAGCAACCCTTTTAGTATGATCTCAATTGAGTCTTCCATGTTCATGTAAGAATCTTTGACCCAAAAGGTGTTTTGTTGACTTTTCAAAAGGACCCATAATGTAGAAATTCATATCTTTTTGTGAGTGCATATATTGAACTTGATGGATGAAGATGAGTTATAGGGAATTGCATCCTCTTACAAATGATCCTTGGATGGGAAATTTTTGATAAAGTATGTGGAAGTTATGCTTGGTCAAAGTTTGGTTGACTTTTCTTGAGAAACCCTAATTTAGCAACTTTTGGGTTTTGATGAATTTGGAGAATTCCTTAAGGAATCATGATCAACCCTTTATCAAATGATGAAAGTCACTTAAAAATGTTGATGTTGACTAAAAATCTTGAAGTTTGATTGTATGTG